GACAGCTGAATGAGCATTATAACTAACAGTTTCCTTCCTTCTTCTTCTTTTCTTTTCCTTTTTTTTTTTTATTTTTAACATCATTCAATCGAATATTAAATTAATTAATTTATTTGTTTTTTTTTGTATTGTAAATAAAATGTCATTCAGTTGATCGATTTAATCAAAAATTTTTATACAAACAAAAATAAAAAAGAAAAAAGACAGTATCATTATCGCTTCTCAGTTTATCTCTCTTTTTTTTTGGTTTGTTTATTAGTTTTTTTTTAATTCAAATTTTCATTATTTATTTTACTGCTGTAAGGAAACGGTACGCAATAACATTGCCTAATTTTATGTGGATACATTTTCATTAAAAAAGGAAAAAAAACTGATTTAATAAAACAAAATGAATTAAACACAGCTATTTATTTATATATCACTTTCTTGTTTTTGGTTTTTTTTTCTTTTCTTTTTCAATATTTTACTTATAAGTAGAATATTCTATTCACAGCGTACAATCTAATTGTACCAAATGAATGCTTTAACCGAATGCTTCTTACTGTATATCAGTTGTTGTTAATTTCGTGTTAAAGCAATTTTGTAAAGTTTAAATTTAAGTCAAGAATTTATTTGCCATTAAAAAAAAATTCAGAAAGAAAGGAAGAGAGAGAGGGAGAGAGAGAGGGAGAAAGGGAAAGAAAGAGAGAAAAAAGTTGATATTAAATTCATACAGATCAGTGACAGGGAAAACAGATTGTCGTTGAAAGCAGTCACAGTTTATCGCTTACGGTTCCCAAATTGGGGAACATCGCAACAGCGATTAGCGGCGATTGACTGTAACGGTGTACAAATTGTATACGGTTGTTTAACGTTTACACAGATTTTAACAGTTTTTTATTGTTTTATCAAAATTTTTCAAATTTTAATTTTTTGTTTCTTTTTATTTTTTTTCAAACAATTCCGATATTTATTTAGCAATTAAAAGTTTCGTTTTTTTCTGAATTTTGCTTCCTGTTCAGCGGTCGTTTACTCTTTAAATTGGTCAGTGTCGTCCA